ATGCTGCAGATGTTTCACTTTTATGCATAATGGATAAAAAAGATTCTAGATAAAAAGTAAAACTAGAAAGGCAAAAAAAAGTTCAGAGGAAATCAATACAGTTTTAAAGAGGATCGCTCATTTGCAAGAACATCTGCCGAAAAATTGAAAGAGACCGATAATGATAATTATAAGCCCGATAATAAGTCCACAGATAATAATGCCAATATACAAGGATCTCTTAAAATATCTTCTAATAAGATGTTTAAGTGCAAATAATCGAAGTAATAACAAAAATCTAAATGCAATAATTTGGTGTTTTGTACCGAATCATTTACTTCTAGACCTAAAAGTTATTGAAATTTATTTGTTATTGCAATGTTTTCGACCGTTCGTATTTTTAGTGAAAGATATACATCCATTTTGAAAATAATGTTATTATTGGATATGAAAATCGGCAGAAAACGAAAATTTTCGCATTGCAGCAAGAAAAAGATTACGTCTACCGATCGTGCAAAACGCTAATTTTCCTTTGAGACACGAAGGCCCGAAAACAATAAATTGAAAGATAAGTAATTGACTTTTGAAGAATTTTTGAAGAAGACATACTTTATGCAAATTGGAATAGCAGATTATTCGTAAGTTCAAAAAATTCATATCTAATGAAAAGTCTATTAGCCGTGCGGTTTCTTTGAAAAAAAGATCTTAAAAATTATCTTAAAAACGGTCTTCAACAAAGGAAATCCCTCTCTTAAGATCGAAACATAATAAATTTTCGCATAACGCATAATACATAAGAGAGTGAATCTGAGTCTTTTATTTCCATCTCAACTTTTTGTTGTTATCTTGTTATCTTAGTGCATAAATGTGTGGAAAAAATTGTAAGAATGAATGTTTATGCATTATGTATTAATTGGCTGGCGTTATGTAGACAATGGTTATGTAGACAATAAAATTTCACATTCTACTCGCTCGGCAAGCATAAAGTTGCATCAGAAGAGTTACTGAGAGCGGACAATAAATTTTTAATTTTCTAATAAAACTAATCGCTTTTTAAAAATAATTTTCAGAATAAAATACAAAGCTTTATGTACACATTTGTGCATTGGCGCGCGTTATGTTATGCACTATGTTTTAAGGTGATGGTGCATAAGAAGCTTAAGCATGAATAAGTCAATCACAGTAGAGACTGTAAGGCAATAACGTAAGTAAGTTACAGCAACTTCATAATACTATTTTCTTACGGCTTATGTCTTACTGCTTAAATTTTTTTTATGTGCCATAGCCGTTAAGCATTATGTATAATACAAAGTCTGTGCTATAAACTCTTCTGGCTATAAACTTCTTTTTTCATCAAATTTTCCAAACATATTTCATCCATACAACATAAATAATTTTGCGTAATCGCGAGATACGCAATTCTTTTCAAGGGAATGCAATTAAGCATTGAGATTTATTACTTATCAAAGATAAGATATCATATCTTCTTCCAAGTTCGAATAATTTAAGTTCGTTTACATCGTGAATAAATGCATAATAAAATAATAATTTGCGTGAAAGAGACCGATGTCCGGAATATTGCGAACATCGGCAATAGTAAACGTTAGTTTGAAACGAATAAAGGGAACGTGACATACTTATTTGGATACAGTTACAAAAACCGCGATAGCAAAAAATTGATATTTTTGATTCGCGATCATTGTTACGCCGCGTAGCGGTCCATCTTGTAGATTCGCGAAAAGTGGCACGCCATCTGCTCAGTGAACATATGGTGGACATAGCGTAAGTCATTTAAATCAGCGAGTATTACTTCGATACTTATAATTCGTATTAACTGTTATGCGCGTCCTTGTAATTGCCGACTATCTTAGATGTCCGACAACGTCAAATGATTTCGCAATGGATGCAATAGTATTGTATAAGTGATATCGATATCAATGAGAAATTTACGCAATTATGCGGAAAAATGCGATTTTGCTAAAATACCTAAAAAATTAATTGGATAGATTTGAAAATAATTTTATTATACCATCAAAACATGAACTTTCGAATGAATAAATTAGGTAAAGATCCTCCATTAATTATCTAAATAAACAAAGTTTAATTATTATTAAATGAAGTTTAATATTAATTATTAACTTCACAGTTTGTCTATCAAATAGTACTCATATTGTTCTTAAGATTTTTAGAAAAATTAAAATTTTACGAGAGTAATAAATTTTAATTGTGCCATTTTTGTAAACAAAAAGGGGATCTTCTATAGAAAACATTCATAATTAAAACAGTTTTGCTGGTTGAAGTTTAAAAAAAAATTTATTTTTAATTTAATCATTTTAACCGATTAAGGTAAATATAAAGTTGGTAATATTTCGAGTTATGTCACATTCGATAAATTATTCCGAATTTGTTATAATATTGTAGAATAGCAGAATCGTTACAACTCAAAAAAATTAGTCTTTTAATTATTGTTTTTAAAGAAACGCACTAGCGCGAAAATAGTAATATAATGACATTTGATTTGTTTCTAAGAATATATTACTTTTGTTGATATTACTTTATAAGTCAATAATTTTCTGTTCACGAAAAGAACAGTTTCGAAAAATAATTTTTCTCTTTTCTGAAAAACTTAACTTTTCAAGTTGTATCTCTTATAAAGAAAGGCAACGAAAATAATTATGCATAGAACGCTCGCACTAGTTGTTATAAGAGTATTAGAACTTTTGGTAGCATTGTGTGTTCATTATGTTTGAACGTCCTGCATAATTATTTTGATAGTGTAATCCAGTTATTTGTTTATCTAAATTTTTAGATACTTTAATAAAATTGTTCTTTCTGTGTATAATCTTGGCATTTCAATTTCATGACGGTATACGAAGGTTACCAGTCGCGGATATCTTGGATTCAATGTGAAATTTCAAATTATGGGGTACCAACACAGTTATTGGTTACACATGATTCATAATACGTAACCATTGATTATGTGAGTAAATATCACGCTCATAATTTGATTTCCAATCAAAATCAGACGGATTTGCTGTTGATTTGCTCAAGTCAAAAGTTTAACAGAAAATTGAGCGAATAAGTAAAGAAAATTAAAGATATCTACGTCAACTAGGGGATTAGAACTTAAGATCTCATTAAAAAATTTAAAATATATTGGATAATAAAAATAGATTCTATGACGTTTTCGCAATGTTTATATAACATATTTTATTAAATTATTACATTACAATTATTCTATTTTACTAACAATTTAAAAAAAAATTGAAGATGTGTTAGATGTATAGTTTCTGCAGAGAGTGACTGGAATTGGATTTATACTTTCCATATAAAAGTGAATGTATATACATGTGAAACAGTTTAATAAGGTCAATATTTATACAATACAATATATACAATACAATTTTATATTATAAATGAAAATTTTTCCATTTTATTGTATCTTAATTATTTTTTAAAAATTTATCTACTTTTTATTAAAATAATTTTTTATTTAGGTTCTAATAAATTGCCTCTAAACTTTGTATTATATTATTTTCAAAGATAATGTAAAAAATTTATTACAATGTAAAAATTGATTATTTTTATTTTTAAAAGAATTTTTCATTTTATTACAATTAATAAATACAATTAATACATTTTTAAGGGATTTGCAACTATTTAAACAATACTTCTAATTACGTGCCCATAAAAAAACGATTTTATTAAAGTATTTAAAAATTTAGATAGATATATCTGAAAATAATTTTGTTGAACTATTAAAAATATTATAATTATGTAGAAAAGTATGATAAATAATGCTGTAAACAATTTTGATATTCTAGCAATTCAGTTTGAGTCTTACATAATTATTTGCTCCACTCCAATACAATTTATTTTCAGTCCAATACAATTTACAATATTTCGTCTAGCTAAATTTTTAGATATTTCAGCAAAACCGTTCTTTCCATGTGAATTATTTTATTTAGCATTAAAATTGCAAATACACAAATATCATCGAGATCTCTGCGAACGCTCTCAACATGTGAATTTTCTTCCATGCAAAATATCGGGCTGCCACTTTCGCCTGTTTCTATCAATGCAGTTTAATTTTAATCGGTCGATTCAACTAACTCTTCACCTTTTTCTAGCTTTAAGAATAAGAAAAAGATAAAGAGTAAGTTGATTGACTGAGATTAAAGTTAATCTATATTGATAGAAACGTCTTTGATCAACTCCGATTAATCGACGGTTAGTCCATTGGAATTAGCAGGCTAATCGCATCTATCGTTGACAAATACGATTGGTCAATTCCAATGAACAATTAAAGTTAATCGGAGTTGGTCGAAGAGGTCCCCACAGAGTTAGGTAATTTAAAGCTGCGAGTAGTTTCTTACATTTTCTACATGTATATAATACATACGAGTACGTACATATATCTTGTATGTATAATTCATATAAAATGTACGTATAATACATAAAAACCATGTATGATACGTTACGTTTAATACATGCCCAACTCTGCTATACTCGAGAAATTAAACAACCGGAAACGGAAGTTTCTAGCTGATAGCGAGGAAAAGAGTCGCGCGCGGTATCGCGGCAGGAAAAGGTGGAAAAGACTTGGCGACCCGGAGAGAGAGAGAAAGATTCTTAAGCACGCGAGTCTGCGCGATACAGTTTATTTGAACTGGGGATTGACGAAGTGGGGAGACACGACTCGACGTTAGCGCACCGCTGCGTCTCTGCAGTTTGCAAACTTTAGTCGCGCGATCTCGTCTGAAGTGTTGGGGCATTTCATGTTGAGCTCCTGACTACGCTTCGATCGACCGGTCGTTCGATGGGTCGATAGTGCCGTTTGCGACTTGCGTACAATCCTACGAGAAAAGCCGAGCGATTCATTCGGAAATCTCCGTCGATACCGAAAATTCCAGGTGATAGTTTATGCGTTTGTTTAATCGTGCGTTCGAGCGAGTTTGATCACGTTCGAGTTGTGAAAGAATTCAATTGGTGATTTTGAATTTTTGCTTCAACACATCGTTTCGGACGATATTCGGAGCATTCTCGTAATATCTTTATGAAGTTACGGATTCTTCTAACAATAAGTTAGGCGATCTCGACACGTGCATCGGGTTTACATGCTTACACATGCGTGTGAGACGAATGCTTCATATTGACGAATTAACGCTTTGGATGGATACGGAGTTTCGTTAAGTTTTGATGATCGACGAGGTGAGAAGAATAATTACAGTGAACAGGTTTTACTCGAACCTGATCCGAGTAAAGCGATTGTGTTTTTCAAAAATTGTGGAAATAACGCATGCAGAGAGGTTAGAATGGGACGTATTATGACGAAGTGCAATTCATCCATAGGTCTGTTTTCATTGTGACTCAACTAGTATACGCTTAGAGTGTACTTAAAGTGAAATAGGTACGTATTTGAAGTTTGGCGAAAGAGAGAAAGTTTTAGTGCAGTCCAGTATAGAAACAAAGGCAGACCTCATGTAATAATCATTTTGTTTTTTTGTTCATATTATTAGACTCCCAATCAGTACGCAATATTAAAAAAATATTTAAAAAATATTTTTTGAAATATTTATTTAATGTAAAAATATTAATTAAATGTTTAAAAAATGTTTTTTAAATATTGTGTGCTGATTGAGATATAAAGCAATAAACAACGAAGAATAGATAAAGACTACTTTCCTTTTAGAGAACGCAATTGATACAATATCTGTACCCGAATCTTATGACTGTAATTCTTAACGACAATTGTTATGTTGTCGTTACGCATCTCATTTGCGAAAAACAATCCTTATATTGTGCTTTTGTTGTAAAACCAATCAGCAGAATTTCCTGAAAAAACTTTCTGTGAAGAATATAAAAAAGTCCATCAGAACCTACTTCAGCTGTTCGGATGCACAAAAAACTCTTTATTTTCGTGTAAATATTTTCGTAATAAAAAACGAATAAAATAAACATTAAAATATTCGTTTTGTATATATTTTATATCAATAGTTTATACTATTTCTTTTTTACTACTGTTTTCTACAAATGATAGTGGAACAATGAAATCGTCAATATATATTTTGCGAGTAATAAAATCAGTAACGGGATTACAATGAAAAAAATTCCGAAATCGTTGTTATTTTTGGTATTTCTCTCTTGTATGCATGCTTTGGATGGTTTTCGCGTATAAGAGATGGAGTACAAAAATCGTCTGCATGCAATACATTTTGTAGGACAATATACGATATTTCACAGAAAGTTTTATGAAATTTTGCTGATCGATTTTACAGCAAAAGGGATATGTACGATACAATAGAGATTGTTTTCCGTAAATGAGGTGATTTTGTTTTAGGATATTGCTCCATAAAGGATATCGCTCCGAAATTTAAACTAATTTATATTATGAACATATAATTAGCATTAAATTATAGTATTAGTATTTTTGTTTTTGTTATTTCTTTTTTAATGTGAATTTTATCTTTATTACAAGTCAGCAAAAAATTATTTCTTGCTAAACGATTAGAACAATAAAATCGGGGTTAAAGCAATAAATTAACACAAAAAGAGCATTAAATCGCAGAGCGGTATTAGCATCTTAGGACATTACTTAAGATGATTTTAAAATAAGAACGAACTATGAACATCGATCATTCATTAATAAAAGAGTTACGCACAGGTCTAGACACTTTAGGGCCGGTATTCATAGTCAAATATTTTCATCTTATATTTAAGACCGTTAAGTATGATCTTAAGAACCAATCAGAGAGTTATATTAGATAAAATATTATAGAATAATATTTAAGATATTACTTAAGACGGTCTTGAAATAAGAATCGACTCTAAATACTGGCCTAGACGTTGCGATTATTTTCTTAATAACAGTAATAGATACGGCTTCAATGCTTAGGAACTTTCTCGTAAATTTTATCGAGAAGAATCAAAATAGTCTGATGGCATTTTGCCATATTTGTCATCATTTTCGAATTAATAGTTTTTCTGTCTAGATCTGTTTGTAACTTTTTTTATGAGAATAATAATTTTTATGAGAAAATAAAAAGATAATAGATAAAAATATAATAACATCAAAATATTTTGAACCATTTTATATACTAAGTTATTATTATAAATTGTATTTGTAATTGCACTTTAAATGTTACGCGTTTTATTATATTTAATTATACGCGCGAAATTTGGAATCCGAATTATAACATTGTTTTAATTGCTAATTTATTTTATTATATCTTGTAAACGTGTAAAATATTAATTAGTAGCGATTAATAATCTTCGATATTAGACTCTCGAACGATTTACTTTCACTGTTAAAGCAAATTAGATCCACTCACGGAAGGTGTTCTTATTAACTTATACACAAATTAAAATCTCCTGCTTTGTTTCTGATATTTAATTAATCATCATACCATTAGAAAGTTGCGCGCAACGCAGAAACTTTCATAAGCTTGATTAAAATCGCTGGTAGGGTTACGTGCTTGGCGGTACGATAAGTCTTCTGTTAGGAAAATTACGTCAGAGATGTTCGCAATACACACACCACGCGTAGAAACATAAAACATTTGCAGCTTAGAATAGCCACTAATGGGCGGAATTGCTAAATCTGTACTTTCACTTTGTACGATCTATTATGCACAGAAATGCGGTGAGGCTTTTTAGCTTAGCTCTCCATGAATATAGCTTAATTACTCGATACCACGAATTCTCATAATTCGTTTCTTGTCAGGTTTACGTCTACTTACATCATGTTGGACAAAACGGACGCTTTAACACTTAACGTCTATCATACATAGACGAACGTCATCTTTGAGCTGCAGACAATAGGAGTCTAGAGAGAGTGAAATCAAATGACAAAAGAGCTATTCTCGTCACAGTTTGTAGTCTCTTTGAAAATTTCGGTTGAAACGTAATTGTCCGTTATATACGTACGTATGTAGCAGAAAATAAAAAAACGCGATTTCTGAAAAAGATCTTGCACACAAACGGAATAGTCAAGTATTCGTTCGCGTACAAGGTACATACCTTGGTGCATACTAAAATGCGGGGGATCTGTAAGACAAATAAATGACGAAGAAATACAGAAAAACGTACGAAGATGCGAACGCGTCATAACCGGTCGTCGTAATAATTCACGATGTCTTCGTCACGATCGTTTTAGTTGCAGGTAATTAAAACCCCATTACATGGCGATTACAGAAGTTTGCACTGGGGAGGACATTCTATCTAAATAACGAGGAAGAAGTCGAAGAAGAAGGTTAGGAGAAAAAGAATTCCCCCATTCTCATGTGTATTCATGACCGGAATCGCGGATAATGTCTGTAGTAGTCTCCTCCCGCATCATACCTTACATATGTAGAATATTAATTCTCATCATTTGTATGCAATGTACGTAATATCGCCGCGAATGCGCGTAGCCGTGGAATGTCGCAGGTGCAAGTCACTCAAGAAAGTACATTATGGACTATGTGTATGACAGCGAACATGAATAAATTATATTTCACATCGCTCTCGGAGCTGTTAACAGATACAAATCATCGTTCCTAATTACGTGAAAATCCCGGGATACATAATCGGAGAGTGAATCGGATTAGAGGCAAAAATCTTTGTAGAGCTCAGAGAAAGTATAATGATTGAGCATATGAGTAATAGCTTTTAAGCGAGTAGTATTAATGAATGAAATAAATCGAAACAAAAGTAAAACTGATATTTTTGTTTAACAATATATCAAGGTATCAATTAAAAAGATTAGGATAATATTGAGTAATAGTTGTGATGTACAAGATTAAAAAGAAAACATTCAGGATTTATTTAATACACATCATACTTAGTAAGAAAATCTTAGTAAACATAGGTCGTAAACATAACTCAATCATTTCTAAGATACAAACAATTTTGTTAGTATCATATCTGATTTAGGTCCGCGGTTTTTCATTTTCTGACTAATTTAAGTGGTTATTAGTTTTAACTTGACGATAATGTAAAAATTGTACTTTTCCAGCTATTGTTAATCGTAAACTGATAGTTTTGTAATGAATAATTTTAAAGTTACAATAATCATCATTTAATGATTAATCATTGCTGAAAAAATAATGTTTATATTATTATTAGGTAGTCTAGTCACAAGTTAATCAAAGAATAAAAACTTTTATTGGCTTTTACGTGTCGCATGTGACGTGAAGATTTATTACTGTGTTTACAAACCATGTTTTGCCTCAGTCAATACATTCCATACATTCCATACATTCCATACTTGGTAATAAAAAATTTTACCGATAATTGGCTAGTTGTTATTACAATCAGTGATTGCGAATCTATTTGATGATTGTACATCATTATCAAATAATATACTAAAGATTATTCTCTTTTCATATCGTAACATATAGAAACCAATAAGTTAGTCATGAGATACTAACATACAAAACTGTTTATATTTCAGAAAACGATTGAGATTTCGATTTATTTATTTATTAAGATTTTTTTTTTACTCTTACTATGTACACTACCTATCATGTAATACGGAATGCTTATTTAACCTTAGGCTTGTTTTTTTTAGTATTTCTTGCAAGATTTATTTTTCCTCTTTTTTTTCATGTTGGAGAGAAAAAGAGAAAGGATGAACTGTACACAAGAAGTTGAAAAAAATAGACAACATCTTTACAGCCCGAAAAAGTCATGATATAGTGACGATGAAACAGTCTTATATTTTGAAGCAAGGATTATGATAGAATAATAAATTATAACAAATTCTTACTTACAAAAATTTTACTTAAGCCGGTATTTATAGTCGAGGATGTAGTTCCGAATGACCCCTGCTTGCGATTATAACTTTAAATTTTGCACATAAATTCTACTCAATGTGAGGAATAAAAAACATATAGTCTCAACTTTGTGAAATGAAAAAACCTGGGAGGACCTTTGGGTCAATTTTGGAACTGAATTGTGTGCCAAATGATAACTCTACAATAAGATATTAATTACAAAGAAGTTTCAGGGATTGAGGAGAGAGAGAGGGGGGGGGGAGAGAGAGAGAGAGAGAATTATTATCAGCTGGAGGGGAGAGAAAGGAGAGGAAAGGAGTTCACGTACTCCTAAGCGAAAATCTGTTTTCTTTCTACATTTCCAGCTTTGATAATTATTGTCACCTCATCTTCAAACTTCTCTGTGATTTATGTCAATATAAGATAAAACCACCTTTTTGCGGTTACTCTTTCTTTAATCGGTCCGAATTTTAGTCAATAAATATTGCCATATAAAAATTTTTTTCATTTCCCAACGTTGAGACTATGTTTATATATGTTTTTTTATTTCTTACGTAAAGAACAATTTATATGTAAAATTTCAGATCAATCGCAGGGGTTGATACACCCTAGTCGAGTTTTATATTTAAGACTGTTTCAAGTATACAGTTTTAAGATATCATAAACTAATTAAAAGTTGTATTACTTGAAACATTACTTGAAACGATCTTGAAATAAGAACAGAATACTGCTCTTAGAAAAAGCTGTAAGATTTAAAAAAAATAAACCCGTCACCTCTAAAAGTTAAACACTTTGTATAATGACATTTATAAGTCGTTCATTCACTTTAATACATGTTATCTTCTTTTCTGTCGGCATTGCCGCATTTCTGCTGTTACGACTTCAAAGACAGGAGGCGACGTTTCGCAAATAGCAGAACGTCCCGCTTTACCATTCTGCCCACGTTTCTCCGCGACATAGAGCCGCTCATCTGAAAGACAAACACCAGTGGCGACACACTGGTATGTCACGGGAGATAATCATCGTCATAAATTCATCATCATCATCGTCAAGATGCCCGAAGCGTAATCACTCATCTGTTTGCGCGGTTCGCCGCTAACGCATCACTGTCAAGACTGTCATCCCTCGCGAAATGACGAATTTCATTGAGGGTGGTTGAAATGACGAAAGGGGGAAAGGGAAAAGAAAGCATTTTGTTCCGACATTGTTCCGACAGAGAATAGAAAACGAGCTATGTATTGTAGTTATTGCGAGAATTGCTATATCTATTGTACTTCCGTTATATTAATTTCTTGAAATTCTTTTCATCGCATTATATAAAATGCTCTAAAGTTATTAACAGTTATAAGAATTGTTTTGAATAAGATCGAAAATCTTTTTTTTTAAACGATTGCCATAATACGATTATTTTGTTAAATTTATTTTACAACGAGTTATTTTCATGTTAGGCAGTGTCCTGTTTTCAAGTATGCAGACAAAGAGTGATACATCTGATTTCTGATAAAAAATTTAAAAAACAAGCAAAATTATTCGTCAACGTGAAGCGCATGCATTCCATCGTGCGGATTGGTGAAATGTAAAAGAAACGAAAAAGCGAGTTTGGTGCAAACTACTGTGAGAGATACTGTATCGCGATGTCGTCAACTGGTGAATTTTCAACGTTGTCGAGCGGCGAGGCCACCGGAACTGGCGAGGACTCATTGCCGAGTTCGAGAGAGGCAACTGCCGAGGCCGCGGGTTCCGGCGGTGGTTTCATGCCACTGCGCGAGTTCCTGGACAGATTCTCATTGCCAAGAGTGGTCAGGGTCGAAGGTGCTGGTGGAAGGCCGATACTGCTGTATAAGCAACAGCAGAGATCGCTTAGAGTCACGGCTACACTGCTGATGCATCGTTACCGTCACGACGTCAAAGTAGGACCGGAAATAGTCATCCCGGAAGGTTATCCTGGTGAGTATAATCTCAGACAGTATGCTGTGGATTTGCTTATATTTTCTTACTTACGTAAATGAGTTTAGTAAGAAACGAGATTGAGTAGACAGGCATTCGTTTTTTAAACAAAGAAAATTTAACAAAGTTAATTCAAGAATATACAGAAAAAAGAAAGAATATACAGAAACTATTTTTAAATCGATCATAATCTGTACATTTATAAGCAAAAATATTGTAAGCAAAAATATTGTTATTTCAAAGATTTTAATCTTGATTTGATTGAGTTTGTATTGTAAGATTTTTGATGGAGAAAGTCTCAAATTGCAAAGTAATACTTACGTCTCAACATAAATTCAATCAAATCAAGATTAAAATCTTTGAAGCAAAACTTGTATACAAACTTATATACGAGTTTTATTTTATTTTTTTATTTTTTACTTATTTTATCATTATTTTTTATTTCTAATAATTTTAAATAATATTTTCTTACTCAATTAAATTTTATGATTTAAAACAAATTATTTATAATTTATTCTTATTTTTCCTATTAAATATTAAAATATTATATACAATTAATATAATAAATCATTTAT